AATTTAGAAATCTAGTTGTCAATCTTTGCTGCGGAGTTATAGAGAAGGATTCATATAATTGGCTAATTTATGTAGATCTAACAGGTTATACTAATAATAAATCGTTATTGTTATTGTTACACCAAATTTGAAATGTGATTTTCTCAAAATAGAAAAAAAGCTATAAGCCCTTTTTAGTTAGATAGTCCTCATATATTCCTTTAATATGATCTATTTTAGAAGCTTTCTGATAGTATTCAAATACTTTTCACTTATTCTTCTTAACTCCAATTCTATTATAATAACAACATTTAAGATTTAATACTTTTTAAACATTTTTCTTTGGCTTATTTGTTTCATCTCCTTAAATATTGTCTATAATATCATCAACTTTATTTAATACATCAATACTATCTATATTAGCAAAATTCTTTTCTTCTCTGTTTGACAATAATAAAAATAGTAACAGATATTACATAATATTATTTTACTATAAAGATATCCTCTTCTTTCTGTAAGTCAATTCTGATTGGCTAATTTAAAAAATATTTATAATAAGAATTTATTTAAAAATAACTATAGGTGAAATTAACCAGTATATAGTTTTGTTTGTTTATTTTCTAATAAAAAATTTTTATTAACTTTAGAGTTAGGGTGAGAACTATATTAGAGTTATAGTGTTTAGAGACGTAACAAAAATCAAGTGATTTTTTAGAGGGAGAAGTAAAAAAAGTTAGAATTATATATAAGAATCTGATTTTTTTTATATTAAGAGGGAGGAAGGGAAATAAGCCTCTGATAAAAAATAATCAGGTGATAAATGACACTGCCCTTATTATATGTAAAATTAAGACCTGAAAACTTTTACTTAATAATATAAAACAAGTTTTCATAATAAAAATTTAAAATATTAATGTTTTTTATTTTTTTCTAAAAATTCTTTATTTTTGTTACATAAAGAGGATCAAATATAGTATAACTTGCTTTGGCATTTCTAGAAATTTTGCCAAAAAATCAGTAGGATCAATTACATCATCGTGATTATATAACAGATCCGATATAGTATAAAATGTAATCTATTGTATTACCAACCTGACATTAAAAATAAACTGTTACGTTATATATATAGTTTTATTTATTGTTATTGTATTACTATTACAAACCCAAATAGGTGCTAAAAAGCATTATGAAAGTCAAAAATTAAAACTTAAAAAAATGACCCCAATCAAGATCCCAGTTAGTATAAGATTCTAAGAAACTAGTATTTTTACTATTCTCGAATTCAAGATCGTATTGGAATTATTCAGGAATTAGAGTTGAATAAGCATAGAGCATTTATGCATTATTGGAAATTAGCTAAGGCAGGTAATTTTGTAGAAAGTATAAAAATTCTGTAGAAAGTATGAAACAGCTATTTACAAATAATTTACATTATGTTACGTATATAGTTTTATTTATCTATTATTATATTACTATTACAAACCCAAATAGATGCGAAAGTCAAGAATTAAAACTTAAAAAACAACCCAATCAAGATTCCGGTTAGTATAAGATTCTAAAAAACTAGTGTTTTTACTATTCTTGAATTCAAGATCATATTGGGATTATTTAGGAATTGAAGTTGAATAAGCATAGGTCTATGCATTATTAGAAATCAACTGAGGCAGGTAATTCTGTAGAAAGTATGAAATGGCTATTTACAAATAATTTACATAGTATGTTTATTCAGATTTAGGTCTTTTGATATCAACAAGTATGTTATAAGGTTTATAGAGTTCTATCATATAATACTGTAAACTTCAGACAGAAATCAATATGTTTGGAATAATTATGTAGAAAATTTGTATGAAAAATTTGTATTTTATAATCAAATATTTGAAATATATCTTTAAATAAAAATGCGCTATAATGATCTATGACCAATATCAGTGAAAAAAGTTCAATATTACGAAGATATTTATATATTTGGTTCATCTAACTGTTGAAAAGCTAAAGATGCTTTAATACATATTAGACCAATTAAAATCTTTACAATTAATTATGAATTGCTGTTTTAAGTGATCTATCAATAGTATTAGTTTTGCACAATTTAATGAATATCATGATTAAAACTTATTCTTTTTTTATTATTGTTCTATAGAATAAAATAATAAGATTTATAGGATAATAGTTATCCAGAACACTTCATAATATTATACAAGTCTAATGAGTAAAAAGGTCTAATAAACCATTTATCAGTAGTAGGATTTTGTAAAATTCTTATAAAATGGCAGAATAATGAAGATATTTTTTCAAATTAAGGTAAGCCAAAGAAAATTATTTATTATTGGTTGTTTTTATTATTTTATTATCATTATTGTTAATTATATCCCTTTCTCTATTTTCCTCTTCGTTTTCTTTATTTTTCTCTTTATTTTCTTCATTCTCCTCCTCTTAGTCTTCTTTATTCTCCTCCTCTTTGTCTTCTTCATCCTTATATATATTTTCTTTATTTTTCTCTTCATTTTCCCTATTTTCATTTTCTTCATTCTCATCTCTTTCATCCTCATCCTCCTCAAAATATCACATATTTTTTATACACTGCAATATACTTTCCCAAAGATTATCTTTGTTTTGCTAGTGCTATATAAACTCAAACAAATAGTCAGAAACTTTAGACTTTGTGCGACCTCTTGATGGAACCTAAGTTAAAAAAAAATATAAATTTTTAATTAATTAATTGATAACATTCATGAGCATTATAGTGAATTATAGTCTAAATTAAACTTAATATAGGCTATAATTCAAAATAATAATCTTGGGCATTATTTTGCACCTATAGATAATTATTTTTTTTAAAAAAAAATAGATAATTATTTAGCAATCAGCTTGTATAAAAATCTAAGTCAATTAAAGTTTTTTTTTAATGCAGATTATTAATCTAGATTTTAATACCATTTCAGGTTCCTTCAATTGTATTCGTATAAGTGCATGTATTAGGGTCAACAAAATTTTGACTATAAATTACGGTCTGGTGCTGAAACCCTAAATCAAAATTTATTTGCAAATAGGCACGCCATAGATCTGAATAAATAATAGACCCAGGGTTTATATTTTCTTCAATTAGAAAGAGTAAGATATTGGCAGTTCTGTTATCAACGGTTTTTGCAAACAATCTTCTCTCCGGAGTTCTTTCTATACCTCCAAAAACCCAAACTCCCTCAACACAGTGGCCACGATTAAATTTTCATCTGCCAAACTTTGATTCATCTATTTCTACTATAATATCGTGGCCTCCAATTTTACTCTGGGTCTCTTGGACATTGAAGCCAACAAGTGTTCTATAATTAAGTAATTTTATTTATTTTTGTTTAATTATTTAGCTGGCAAGTTTAAAGACAAAATTTAAAAAAAATCTATAATAGCCCATATAATCGGTTATTGTATTTGGGAATGACCTGTGATAATCATAATTGTTTTATGTGATGCTCTAGAAAGCCATAAATAACTAATTAAAAGGGCATCATTAGCCTTTAATCAGTTCTTAGAAAAAAATAAGTTTTTAAAAATTGATACACCTTTTCTGCATCTTTTCCTTCTATATTGGAAGATTTTACCAAATCTTGTCATCCTAGCACCACACACACTATATGCCGATTGTTCATACAGGATTCCTTTGCTAAATAAGAAATTAATACAATTTTCTTCATTATATAAAATGGATTGGAGTGATGATAATTTGGGTATCATTTTTGAGAGAGTATGAAGAATGAAATTTGTAAGAAACACTTTATTTTAGTCTTGTGAAATTGAATTTTAATAACATTAAAAAAAAAAATTACCATACAAAACTACATTTCACAGGTTAAAAATTGCATCATAATTTGGTAATAGTATAAAGTATATTATATGGGTAATACCAAGAAAAAACCTGACTTTGATCATATAAAATTTATATGATCGAAATCTGTTTTTTATTGGTATTACTAATATGATCTGTTATTTTCAAATCTTTAGTATCATTGTGTTTGATAACACTTATTTTTGGATTCAAAATATCATTATGAACATTAAAAAATATTTATTTATAGTGTAAATGGTCACTAAGTGAAATGTCTAACCCATATATTTAAGAACACACAATTTATAGTCTGATGGTCAATTTATAGTGCACAATACTGGCCAATCATAATATTTAAGAAGAGGTAATCTATACTTTTTGAATTTTAATAATTGTTTTTATCTAGTTTTGAAGCGCAATCTGAAGTGATCAAAATAAATAATAAGAAAGTTGTTGGTTTGCTGTAACTCATAACTTTTATTAATTTATATATATATACCAGTTTAATTATGAATTTTATTATAATTATTGAGAGATTCAAAATATATCATTAAAAAGCTACTTTAGATGCCTAATGTAAGATCTAATTGTAGGTCAGATATGACTTCAGACCTTAAGTTGCATCAGACAAGTAACACTGCAGACCTTTCAAAAGAATGTATAACTTGTTTAGTGTCTGAAATAAAATAAAGATTTTGGTACTGAATCTAAATTCTTTTATGCATGCTGTACACATATATGCGAGTTAATTTTAAATCCTGACTGTAGCTATGCCATATGTTAGTGATTTGAAGCAAATAAAGCAAATAGGATATATTTAAAGTTTCTAACAAGTCTGTATTAAGTCACTACAAATGTATTTATTTTTTTGATTTTAAATAAACAAATAAATAAATAATAAAAAAAGACTACCAAATACAATATTGGAATCAAACCAAGAATAATTAAATATTGTCTTGTTGCCTTTTTGTAAAACATTAATAATAAAAAATCCCACTTTTTATAACTATTTCTAAATAGTCCTAAAACTGTATAAAAATCTAAACTATTCTCTACATTTTCTAGTATCCGAATCTTTTTGGTGCAACATATTCAGAAACTTTCAGATATCTTTTAGTGAAATACATATAATTGTTTAAAGTAATGTAATTAACATAAAATTGTATTAAAATTATGCATTTATAAAATATCTGAATCATAATTACCTCTAATTGCTCTTGGTCAGTTTCTTCAAACAATGTATAGACTTGTAATCAAGTTGGAATGATTTTTTTTTAATGTGTTCCAATACCTTTAAACTTTGTCTAAATATAGCTCTATGATCCCGAATGAATGGTGTTAATGCTTTGACTGTTTCTATATTGAGTACACAAATGTTCAAGCCAGAAAGTACAACAACTCTGGCAACACAACCGAGATTGCTCTGGAAATCTCTAAGACACTCTACAAGAATGTGTGTAGTACTATATAAAGTTGAAATTATATTAATTTTCATTTTTTAAAAACTAAATGTTATAATAACGATATAGCTACTTTTTGAGCAATCAAATTGTTTTCAATGTATTCAGACTTTCCAGTTCACCATTTCAAGCAGGCAGTCAGCTTTAATGTATATATAGAAGTTTGACATAGGGATATATACGTATGTACTATTATTAATTGGATACTAAAATAATAGTAAATCCAGTAGATATACTATATTTTAGTATCCAATGAATAATAGCTCACATCTTTAATGCAAATATAAACGTACACACGTGCATACAATATCTTGTCATAACTCTTTTCCCTTATTGAAATTGATCAGAAGTCAGAAACGACGACTGTTAGCCTCACTTGCTTTTTTTAAGAATGAAGAGAAGGTAAACACTAATGATCGTATTGCCAGGAATGAACTGGTAAATAAGTTTAATGTTAGATTCAATTCTGTATTCGTAGAAACTGGCAGTTTAATACTTCCATAGAATTACCTGCCTCAGCTGATTTTCAATAATGCATAGATGCTATGCTTATTCAACTCCAGTTCCTAAATAATCCCAATACAATCTTGAATTCGAGAATAGTAAAAATACTAGTTTCTTAGAATCTTATACTAACCGGAATTTTGATTGGAGTCATTTTTTTAAGTTTTAATTCTTGACTTTTGCATCTATTTGGGTTTGTAATAGTAATACAATAACAGATAAATAAAACTATATATATAACATAATGTAAATTATTTGTAAATAGCTGTTTCATACTTTTTACAGAATTTTCATTCTTTCTACAAAATTACCTGCTCAGCTAATTTCTAATAATGCATAGACGCTCTATGCTTATTTAACTCCAATTTCTAAATAATCCTAATACGATCTTGAATTTGAGAATAGTAAAAACACTAGTTTTTTAGAATTTTATACTAATCGAGATCTTGATTGGTGTCATTTTTTTAAGTTTTAATACTTGACTTTTGTAATGCTTTTTAGCATCTATTTGGGTTTGAAATAGTAATACAATAATGGATAAATAAAACTATATATATAGTGTAACAGTTTTTTTTTAATATCAGGTTGGTAATACAATAGATCACATTTTATACTATATTTGATTCGTTATATAATCATGATGATGTAATTGATCCTACTGATTTTTCGGCAAAATTTCCAGAAATGCCAGGGCAAGTTATACTATATTTGATCCCATAAAGATCCTGCAATTTGATTGGCTAATCATATAACCAGTGAATTTCACCTCCGGTGAGTATTAAGATTGTCCTTATAATAAATTATATAATATTATTATATATAATAGTTTAAACTTAAATAACTTTTGATTCACTAAACCAATTTAGATGATTTAACTACCAAAATGATCCTCTCAAAGAGAGGATTATTTTGGTAGTTAAATCATCCAAATTGGTTTAGTAAATTAAAAGTTATTCAAGTTTAAAATTTTATTATATATATATATAATAATTTTTTTTTGATATTAAGGTGACCTCTTTGTTGCATACCTTTATTCGATTATAGTTATAATTTTTACAGTATGATTTTTTATACTATATACATATTTGGAGAGTACAACTAGCCACATGTACAACTTTTAGTTATCTATTTAAGTAGTCTGCTTATTACTAAGTTTTACACTAGATGTTATACTTATAACCTGACTAGGGAGTTATTTATTTAAACCCTTTGCATCTATGTGTTTAAACTTATTAACAAAGTGAGAATCTATTTGAAAACCCTTAGTTTTGGATACCAACTTAGAACTTTAAGACAGGCTTTTTATCTCCAAGAGCCCTTTATTCTTAAGTCAAATCTGCTAGAACCTTTCATATCTACAATCTGGCTGACCTAGTCTTTAGTTAATATACACATACCAAGCCTACTACTTGTGCCTCAGTTTCTATATTAAGTACTATGGGCATATCACTACTATAAACCTGTATCTGCCCTTATAGAGTTCATTCAAATTCTAATACATATATTATAAACTGTCTACGGTATCTCCAACTACTTCAAACTACTAATTCAGATAGCTTGAAAGGGCTGTAACCTGCTTCTAGTTCCCATAGTTAGATCCTTTTTCTCTGGTTACTCCTCTGGTAGCCTGGTTGGTGAAGTGTCTTGCTGAACACTTCAGTCTCGTTCAGTTTTGCCAGTTCTTCTGATGATAATTCTTTACATAGTATGGTCAAAGATCTGTACTATTTTTCTATTCAAGACTTGCCAAGCGAGTGCCCTATTGCCATAATGGCCTTGTAGTTTTTTGCAATCTAAAGATCTATTCATGTAACTCATATATCACACAAATGCCTTGAGATCTTCCAGTTCTAATGAATTGATATGACTACAGTTATAGGATCTCAAGTTTTTCTAGCTATGACAATAGTTATTGAATCCATTTTTTGAAATTCAATTTTTGTCTTCAGTGAGAATTGAACTTGTACTCAACTGCTTGGAGGTGCGACAACTTTATTACTTTACTAAGTTGCTATACCCTATATATAATAATTATATATTATTTATATATAATATATATTATATATAATATAAAAGTATAATATAAAACTTTTGGCTAGCCCCTCCCCAGTGTTTAAAATTCAAAATGAAAGTTACTTACACAATTGCATAAAAAAATTTATTTAACTTGTACAGTATGCAAGTAAATTATTATTTTTCTACTTACACAAATATAACTTTTATAATTTATATTTATTTTGTGCAGTTTTTTTCTTAAAAACTTACTTGCATATATGCATAAATATTTTATAAACTTCTTGCATATTGAGAAAAACTCTTTTGCATGTACATCTTGTGCATGCCAATTTTAAATACTGCCCTTTCCCTCTAAAATATTATGTAATATCTGCCACTGCCCTAACTAACATTGTTTATTTTGCTATCAAAAGATTTTAAATACTATTCGTATATCTTATATTTATTTCTTTTTTTTTAATTTCAATTGCTTTGTATAATAATTTTAACTTTATTTATTATGTTAGATTTATCTATAGCAGTAGATCTTTGATTATTTTCATACAAAATTCTATTCAAACATTATCTATCTTTCTGATCTTCAATAATATTCAAAACCTTTCTGTTTATCTACTTTATTTTGTGAAATATTTTCTAGTATTATTAGAAAAAAAGTTCTCTAGTAAAAGTGCTTCTTGGTTTTGCACTTTCTATCTATATGGTATAGTATTTGCATACTCTTTGATAAAGCTAGAATTTCTTGAGTCAAACAATAGTAGCAAAAAATAACAACAAGCCTTATTCACTTAGCTATATATATACTAAATATGCTCTATAATATTAACAAACAAAGTTATATAATATATATCATTATCCTATTTGGATAGTGATTCTAGGTTTTAATTTGTAACAAAAAGAACTACTCATAATTTCATCTTGAGTAGCCTTCAATTGAAATAAACAAAATTATTTTTAAAATTTATGCAAATTTATCTTTTTTTTAACAAATCAATCATAATTTTTAGGAATTGATGAAAAATATGTGATTTTTATTTATCTAAACAGTTACAAACTGTTTATAAAAATTTTTTTAATGTATATAGTATGAATTTAATATAGTTAAAATTATCAAAAACTTTCTAAAAAATATTTTTAACTAATCATCAAGTTATAAAATTTTATTTTTTGCTTTTATTTAAAAAGTCAATTCATATCAATATTGAAAATAGCAAATTGAATTTTATATTAATAAAACAAATTTTTGAAAAAAATTTTTCAAAATAATCATTATTGACTTTTATATCACAAATTATCTTATAAATTAAAAAATTTAATATAAAAACTTATACAAAACTATAAAGCTGAGAATTTAATATAAAAACTTACACAAAACTCTAAATATGATTAATAAATTCATTTCTTAGATTCTTAACTTTTCTTATACAATTTATTGCCTTACTTTTAAATTTATTTGTTTCAATTTCTAATTACTTTACTTTTTATTAGCAAGCAAGAACTTCCTCTTCTTGGATTTGAATATTTTGAACCTTTAATGAAAAATTTTGGTTTTTTTGTTCTAATAAATAGTTCTTATTATGAAATTTAAATTTTGTTTAATTTTAGTATAAATTAGAAAATCTAAATTTTAATATATATTATATCTAATTTAATATCTTGATTTTGCTTTTCTAAGTCTTTAATTTGTTCTCAAAGCTAAATATTTATTTAAAATAAATTATATTAATATAAAATTTAATTAACTTAATAATAGTAAAATAATAATAATAAATCTTGTCATGTGATTTTGTTAATATATTAATTGTAAAACTAGCAATATTAGATATTGTATTATCACTTAAACTATTTAGATTAATTAAATTATCTATTAATATTTATTATCATAATAATAAAGATAAATTAGAAATTAATAAAAAAATTACAAAAAATATATAAACAAAACTATTCTAAAAAATAATTAATAAACTATATATGCTTCAAGATTCTTTTCAGCTTCATATACTTCTAATAATATGTTTTTAAAATTTAATTAATAAAATTATAATAAAATTCTAAGCAAACAAACTTATTATTACTTACCTTTAGCTAAATTTCTTTTAGCTTCACAAATATATTATAATTTCTTATTAAAATTTAAGAGAAAGACTATAATAATACTAAAATTGTATAATTATTAATTGTCTTTAACTAAATTTCTATTAGTTATGTAAATATAAAATAATTTATTATTAAAGTTTAATTAATATGACTATAATAAAAATATTAAATTTATTATTAATTATCTTTAACCAATATAAAATTAGAATTGCTTTTTAATAATATTTAATTCAAACTACTTTCAGTTAATGCAAAATTAAAAATTTAAAAATTATTTAAATTTGTTAAATTATATATAAATGAATTATCATTAATAAAATTAACAAACAAACTCTTGGACTCTGACTATTAGTTTTAAATACAACACTATCAGATTCATGAAATATAGCAATATCATTCTAATATATAATAAAAAATTAAA